CTCCCTGTGACTCCCCTGGCAGAGTCAGTCCTGCTGACTGCATTAAATGGCACAAATCCGCAGAGTCATGGGCCAAGACCCAGCTGCACCCAGTGAGGGAAAATAAAGTATAAACAGGAAAACAAACAGAAACGCATATCTCCGCAGATACTGCAGGCAGGAGAATTGGAAAGTAACTTAGGGCTCCTTTCTGTCAAGATTCCTCTCTTAACAGGCTGAAACGAGTGGGTTTGTTTCCCTTGGATAATTTCATGTTTATTTCCAAGTTTGGGGGGGTTATAAATTATTTATATTTACAAAAAGTGTGGTCCTGGTCTGAAAAGTGACTTTGCTATCACGAGGCCCCTGTACCCCTCCCTACCCCCTCTAGGTCAGAGGGAGGTCACACTGCCTCACTGTGGCACTGCACTGCTAGGAGAATTAGAAGGCTAGGCACAGGGTCCCAGGCTTAGCTCCCAGCAGCCAATAGCTCCTCGGCCCATGGAGCCAGTAAGCAGATGAGGCGCTCTAACCACAGGGAGGGGAGCCCTGGCAAAGAGCCTGTAGTGCTCCGGTAGGGAGGCTGCCATCCCAGGGGAAGGTGGCAGAGACAGGGGAATGCAGGCCCGCCCAGCTCCGTTACGTTCAAGCCCAGGGCCCCTAACAGCGGCTGAGTGTCCTACGACTGGGTGAGCGGGACTCTTCCCCCAATACTGTCCCACTGTCAAGCCACAAACCATTTAACAAAATCCCTTAGGTGGCTTCCTTCCCGGGCTCTGGATCAGGTTCCTCCAGGTATTTGGCCACCCGTAGTCCCACCAGCTCTGGTCCTCCTGCGCCCCAGGCCTCACCAGCTCCAGGATGCTTCCTAGCTCAGCAGTAGGTCAGCGGACTGCAGCCAACAGGGCACGTCTGTCTCCTTCCCTTGTTCGGCTCCCATTGAGCTAGGTACTCTGCCTTTTGTACTCCTGCTCCACTTCCAGCGGGCAGGGTGAGCTCAGCCTGGCTCCGCTCAGCTGAGCTGGGCGTGTGGCTCTTCCCCCTCTGGCTTACAGGGAGGCCACACTGCCTCTCTACAGGCCCCAAGGGGTCACCAGGGACTCCAGATCAAATGTCGTTAGTTTGTAGGTAAAGAAATTGTGGGAAGGATGATTCCAATTGTCACCAGAACACATTTATCTTGGGCTTTGGGAGTCGTCCTGGGCTCTGTCTTTGTGCAGCTTTGCCAGCAACTCTGAGCTAGTACAGTAGGTGCAGTTTTGGTGCAACAGAAGTCCAGCCATTCAAGCTGTGTCACCAGCCACGACCATAAGCTCTTCACCTGGCATCTCCAAGATGGGGGGGAAGCTGTGATAGGCCCTGTGTCTAAAAACGACCGGCAGCAAACACAGGATGCTAAACCTAAAATCAACTTGGGCACCCAGTCGGCCACCCTGGAGACACAGCAGACTGTGGATGAGGTGAGGGAGCGCGGGCGCACCAGGGAGCTGCCACCGGCACAAGGGGGAGAGCGGGGGGTTGCACTCAATGCCTGTACGGGGGAGGGATCGGGGGGTCGGGCTCAATGCCTGTACGGGGCGGGGGCAGGGGGAGCGTGCACCACAAAATCAAAGCAGCGATTCTCTCGTGTGGAAACGGGGAGAGCGAGCGGACAGAGGCGCTGCTGCTGCTGCTCAGGGCATGAGACGATGCCACAGACAGTGCGCTGACCCCACGCACGTACAATAACTCTCTTTGTGCCTTCCACTTGCTGATGGGCATCCCGCCCCCTCAGGCACTTCCCCTGCAGCCTCCTTACCAATGGGCCGGTGTTTTCACCACTTGTCGGATTCCTTGTGGATTGTCAGGTCAGAGGAACCGTCAGCTCCTTCAACTCCTTTTCCCCTACTGTTTTCTGCCCTGGGCCCTTAACTGTCAGTTCTCTGATTTTGCTAAAGTTTGCTTTTTGTAAAGTCCATTTGACTTACTTTGCTGATCTCGCTCCTTCCTTTCCTTCCAGCACGAAATCCATCTTTTCCTACTCACTGTCACTCAAGCTGCCTTTCACCTTCAGATTCGGTACCGATTCCTCCTTCTTGAGCAGCATCATGTGTAAAATGGCTGTGTTCCCTCCTCCCCCCCTTTACTTTCTTTTCTTTCCTGGACCAAAATACAAAGAACTTTGTGGAGATTTTCCCTTTTACTTCATTACTTTACCAACAGATGTCTGATTAAAGTCCCCCATTATTGCCAGGTCCTGTGTTTTGGTTATTTGTTTTTGGAATGATTGGGCCCCCCCCCCCCCCCCACACACACACATCAGTCTTATTTGTAACCCTTGTATCTTTACACAGAAACTCTCAACTTGTCTGCCTCTCACTTCCTAGACCACGGAACCCTTATCCCTGTGAGTACACCTTCCTCCCAGGAGTGGAGATGCCTGTCAGTCACATGCTTTTGTGAGTCAGTGTTTCTGTGGGTATGTCTACACTAGAAAGTTAGTTCGAACTAACAGATGTTAGTTCGAACTAACTTTCCTAGGCGCTACACTAGCGCTCCGTTAGTTCGAACTTAATTCGAACTAACGGAGAGCTTAGTTCGAACTAGGTAAACCTCATTTTACGAGGACTAACGCCTAGTTCGAACTAGCTAGTTCGAACTAAGGGCTGTGTAGCCCTTTAGTTCGAACTAGTGGGAGCCTAAGGCTTCCCAGGTTTCCCTGGTGGCCACTCTGGCCAACACCAGGGAAACTCTATGCCCCCCTCCCGGCCCCGGACCCCTTAAAGGGGCACGGGCTGGCTACGGTGCCCGTGCCAGGTGCAAGCCTGCCAGCACCCAGCTAGCAGACCCTGCACCTGGCACGGCACAGAGCCACCCACCCGATGCC